TTTCCTGTCTCCTTAAAAGCGGCAAACTTGTATGGGATATTCATCAAGGATCTCCGGCGAGCAAATCGCTGAGCGTGCAGTAGGATCGTGTTCGAATTCCGTGAAGGCCACTTATTCGATCAACTCGGGCATCGACTTGCTGCAAGGTCGAGGTCTCTATACTTTATAGCTTCGCGTTCTGCATATATCAGCCGGACTATCGAGGTTATACAGTATAGGCAATGGATACGATTTCACCGGTGTTTACAATTACCTAGCATTTCGAACCTTTGGTTTTTCCAGCTTGGAAATTGGTGATGGTAGACTGACCTTTACGGGCTACTCCAAATGAATGATATATGAAAGATGACATTTGCAGTGAGAGAAATTGAAGAGTTCATTGTCAAAAACAAGCCTCGATCCTTTGATCTTTTCTTCGGCTGTGCATGTTATCTGAAATTAAAATATCCAACAATTTCAGTTTTCCATTAAATCGATTCATAAATCATGAAGTTATGAACTTTGCAAAGTCAACAACCTACCGTCATTTGAACCACGTTTCCTTCAAGCGCTGTTATCAGAGTAAATTACGTCGATACGTGTGAACGCTTAAGAAAACATCGATTCCGTATACTTTAAAATAACTATCTTACCAGTAGGATTAACTCTGTTCATTTGAAAAAAAGCTATTACGATAGGAAGCAACTTTGAAGGTTGTTTGTATAAAACCAGTTAATTTTCGTTCGACAATAAGTCAGGATATAGATAGATTCCACCGTATATCCTATTTCTGATAACCAGAAAACGTTACGTAATTGACGAAGATCGTTTTTATTACGAGCCACCGTATTATCATAATCCTCGATAGTTTCTCATTAAGAAAGCCAATGTAATAGGCATCAAGAGAAACCAATGGAAACTGAGGTTATAGACGTCAGAACAACGAAGATAATCTGGTTTCTTGACAGAGCAATTCTGAACGATCGATCTCGAGATCTGGAAGTCAGAATTGTCTCCAAAAGATTGGGAAAAGCGTGAGAGCGAGGAGTCGAGGATCCGCTGAGAACGTTCAGAGACACCCATTGCCACCCGTCACTCATGCTCCGCTTTCAGCTTTTGCCCCTTCGACTTCCTTCCTTCCATTTTAGTCGGCTCTCTCGTTCCTCTCTCCACACAGGACTCCACCACGGCTCCAGGTCCGGCCCCGGCTGTTTCACCCACTCAAGTTTTGTCCGAGTGTTCGCGAGCGAGACCCGGAAGCCGCTTTCAAAGGATCAATAATTGGGGCCGACTGCAACCGTCCTTGAAAAGCTATAACCTAGCTAGTAGATGATCCGGAGGATTGGTAGGTCGCGTAAAAATATATCGAAGATTCAAAGGAGCGATGCAGATGTATCGACGGGCATCGAAGGTGGTTCAGAAGCAAGTCAAATAAGGCGGAGCTACAGTGGAAGTTTGGTTATCCGGATTAATAGTGACACGCGATAATCGAATCCTTCGGGAAGCCGAATAATTTTATTTGCGTACGAGGATAATTTATTTCTATTTTTATTCTGGACCCTTCGTATAGGCAACCCACAGAAATTTCATTCTCAAATCTTTGTCTCTTTCTGAGAAACCTTCTTAATATTTTACTGAAAATTGGTTGCACGATTCAGTAAAATATCGAATCAGTGTACACCCATTTTCTCTGACTTTTTCAAACCCTAAAACGTGGACATAAACAATTCAGTTTGCGCACATAGGGTTGATACGAAACAGGAATAAAAATGTTTCAACAAAGATGTTACAATTTCTTCTAGTTTCTAGTTAATTGATCGTTTCTTTAATAAGTATTCTCCTAAATCAGTTCTCCTAAAGCGAAATTTTGGTCAAGTCGACTGTACTACGTTTGCGTACATTTTTTCGAGGTTAACCGAAGTTAAAGGCGGTCGTTGAAAGCGCTTGCGAACGTTTAAAGTTCACGTGAAAATCGTTTGCAGCGCGTTATGCTGCGAAAAAGCGCCGAGTCTCGTTACACGGGGCAACAAAAGGAAAAATATAATGTAACCCTGAAGAGCAATTACAATAAGTGCGACCTAGATTGTGTTCGTATACCTCGGACGCCGTTACGTTTCTATTTTCAGTGTTTTATACGACTTTTCCACGTCGCTGCTCGCCGAACGACGAGTACTATTCCAACGTGAAAGAACATTTTTGTAGCCAGCGTTCACGGGTGAGCAGTCATCGAGGCGTGAAGAGTAGCAGTCGATTAAATCGTATCGATAGATTGACGCGTGTCATCGAGAGTGATGGGTATTCGACATATTCCCGAGGGAACAGCCCCGGTGTACAGCAGGTGCCAACTCACGGCTGTACGTTTGGTTTATCAAAATTATAGAGGAAAGCAACGTTCGAGCAACGTGGAATGAATTTCCAGAAACGCGTTTCAATATTTTGGAACACTTAGCGGGAGCATTACAGTAATCGTCGAGTATGTCGGATTTACAGTGGCTCGTGAAATTATTCTAACAGTTCTAGAAATCTTTTACGAACGTGTATATTATGCCTGTTATACGAAACAGTTTGATATTTCATTAGCGCTATAGCGAGATTCGACTATCACGGTTATACTAATTAAGTTTGAAAGCAATCTGAAAATGTACATATTCTAGAAGTTACGAGAGTACTGCTTGAACTCTGTTCGTTGCTTCATTCATATAAGTGAACACTATAATAATCACGACTCGTGTCTCGTAACTGTTTCAATCAAATTTCGAAACACTTTATATAACACTAAATGCTTATATATATATATATATGTCTATCGTTAGAATGTTCAATGAGGTTGAAGCGATGAGCATCGACAAGAAGCGCGCAAATACCGCGCGACAACGTCGGAGGTAAGTGTAAAGGCTTGTACGAACAGACGAAGAGAGGAGGAGAATCGAGTGAATAAACATGGGAATTCGTGACCTTGGAACGTGTCACTGCACTTACGATACAGCAACTAGAAGTAGGTGAATGCAATTAATAATTAAGGAATGGCCACGACGACACCGACGACGAGGGTGCAGGCAAGCTATCGATCGTCCTTCTCAACCCGAACCATCCTCAACCCAAACCTACTGCCTTCCCGGCTACATTCAAAGACTCTTGCCGCCAACTCTTATTGCTTTTATATCCGAGACGACTACTTGTCGAGAAGGGTGCTCCGAACGAGGGACCTAAGATGCCATTCACCCGATCTTCTTCTCTTAATCTACGATGCCGGGGCTTTTTCGGGCCATTTGTTTCCAAAAGAGATCTCTTCCCGCTCTCTCGTGAAAATGGGTTTGTTCGAACGACACCGGCACCCGTATATTTTATCGGGCGAAAGGAATTCGTTGCCCTGCCGTTTTCAGGCTTCACGGAAACGATAGATCGGCCCAGCCGTGGATGAGCCATGAAATGCACCGACAAATATCGATGACACCATCGACGGTATACCCCTGTTCCGCTTTAAGCGGTTTGTCGATATTCTTCTCTCAGTTTCAGTAGCAAGAGTTTCAGATTCCAAATTGTAAAGAGTCGTTTCCCATTCGAAATGGAGCGACCAGGTATCTCGCGAAGATTCGATTCGCGTCGAAAAGCGCAGCCGTGGCACCACGCCCCGTCGCTCGCATTGCAGTCCAGTATTTCCGAGATAAAACGATTCCCGTTTAAATAGCTCGAAGAGGCGCGGTTCGCGTGATTAATATGCAAAGTCGAAGAGAAACGCTACGGGCGGACCGACTCATGACTGAAAGTCGAGGCAAGAATAAATTACGAGCCAAAAGAGCGACTGGGAATGAGAGTAAAAGGCGTTAGTCAAAGACTTACGTCCCCGGTTTCTTTGTTCTCCGAGCTCTCAATCTACTCGAGAACATCGAAAGAGTCTTTCGAGAAAAATTATGTAATTGCTCCGCCATCAGAGCAATTGTTTGAAACTTCGCTCTCGGGGAAGTAACGAGCGCATACTACGGGATTAACGCGGCGTGTAAATCACGATGCGTCGCGAATAAGGCCGCGAACATACGGAGCGACGAAACAAGTAATGGCACAGTTAATGTCGATGTTCCAAATGCCAATCTCGCCGTTCACTGCTTGCCGTATGTTCACGACCTAACACACTCCGCGTCGCCGATTCCAGTCGTCCGTATTGAGCAAGGCGACGCAGAGTCTGAGAAGTTGAAACTCGCGTTCGTCGAGAAACATCCAATTCTACTTGCAAATCGAGCGCCGTTGCACAGTCATGTCGCAATACCGATCGGATTATTCCTTTTTTTTTCTCCTCTATGTACTTACGTTAACTCCTTTTATAAAGATCTCCCGGCGAATTGTGTCAAGAAGAAGAAGAAGAAGAAGGAAAAGAATGAGAAAGTGAAAGAGAAAGAGAGATTAAGAAAGAGAGGGGATGCACGAATAGATCAGTGACCTACGCTAAGGCAGGCGAGTTAGACATGCATGATCTACTGAGTGGTGTTCGGTGAGGAGTATCATATATGTACATATACGTAATAAGTATAGAAAGGGTGTGCGTGTGGGCGGCAAGCTTCATTCACCATTCCTGCGGCTCTGTGTGTAGGAAGACAAAACAAACCGTCAACATGCATGTACCATACATGACCGTGTACTAAAGTTGGATATTTATCTGGAAAATGTGATTAGAAGGGTCTTTAAACCATGTCATAGTCCAGCCTAATGTTTACACTGTCCCGTAGTAAAGCGTTCGTTTATAGTCGATTAATCGCGCAACTAGGGCCGACCACGCGTTTATTCGTCTCGCTGTAAACGTTAATCGGTCCGACGATGATCATGATCGTAGTAATAGAATGTAAACTGGACAGTTTAATCGTCGTGTTCCACGAAATTGGAACGCGAGGATCGCGCGCACTCTACGCATCTACGCACGAGCATGTAGTGTCTAGATTCTAAGTGTCTAGCTATTTCCAGCTAAAAGTAATAGCTAGTAATTAACTAATTTCTCAGCTATATGTGGATTATGTCATTTTGGTATGTACCTGGCTCAGGCTTCTAAAGCTACTTGTACTGGCGCTGCGGGCCTGTAAACACAAGTACAGTACAGGTCACCAATCACCACACACTGCAGTTGGAAAAGTACAAATAGAGATATGCTATAGAATATAGATACATAGAATAGTAAGGTGGTTACATATAACACGGAATGGTATAGAGAATAGAAGAATAAGAGTATGACTGTGACAATTTGCAGAGTTACGGGTACGCGCGTATAGTTTTGGGTCAGTTTGCTGCGTTACACCTAGACAGGGGAAAGAACGTTGTTACGATAAAAATCTTTGGTTCGACGTGCAAGCAGGGAAGATGTCTTTGTGACAGAGCTAAACTTTTCAGGATGTCTCTTGTAATATACCGAATAATCTGTAATTACAAATTACTGGTGAATTGCTTGTTGCGTCCAAAAAATGGTCCCAAGAAAAATTAATTGGTTTCGAAGAAGATAAGATCTGGTGTTATTTTTGTAAATGGTCACGTAGAAGCCATATAATAGTCATATAAATAAAATTAAAGCTAATTGTACCAGATTGTGTCTCCTCGAAAGCATTCGATCGTTTTTCCATACATCAAATAATTTAGGAGTAATTTGTGATTATAGATTGAAATAAGACATTCCATATAAAAGGTATAAAGTTATTTCTCGAAATGGAATCTTCCCTGCTGGTGCAATTACGTGAACTGAGCTCGTGGACATTTGTCAAATTCGCAAACACGGTATCATGGTAGTACAGCGTATTAACAGCAGTGCACACTGAACATATACGACAGCATAGCATGGGTTCTCAGTGTTGAACAATTACGAGGCCAGTTTTCGTGTTTTTCACAGTCATATGTAGCTCGTTTTTCTGTACAATCAAAGCGTTTAGGAGAAGCGAGAAAGATAGTATCTCGTGAAAAAATAGAAAGTAAGTGGTTCGTGTCGATCGTTTCGTGAAACGTGTGCAGATTAAACTTGCCGCGTACTTGCAGCGTTTTCATCACTGCCGCGTTCTCCGCATGAATCTCAAACTTGTGAAAACTGTCGCACGCGTTTCTTCCTGCCAGTTTCCTCGATGTTTACGGGCCAATTAGCTTAATACGTGCCTTGCGACCGATCCCAATTCTGATAATTATACCGTCCTTGATAATAAGTTCTCGACCAAACTCAACGGTATTAATTTAACTCCAAATATCTTTTACGATGTAAAACGTTACGATATGTATATCATATCGCTCTAGTGGCGTGCAAATGTTTTCGATCGGACGGATCTTTCACTTTATAGACCAAAAGGGGCGTCTAAAAGAATTTTAATTAATATCGAATCAAAGAATACGGCGAATAAAAAAGGACGGTAGAAGATTAAATTTTCTATGAATTTGTCTGTACTTGCTTCGTGGCAACTTACGCTGCGAATATAAATTGCAGATAGTATGCACGTATTTTTCGTGGACAGTTATGAGCAATAGTTTCTCTCGTCTCGGAAAAGAAAAAGCGAAATAAGAAGAAAGGCAACGTTTCGTTGCCGCGACTTACTCGGTTGCTCGAGAGTTGGCATTGTCGTTTTAATTGGACAGCGGTTTCGTTCGTCAAAGGTAACGAGGCGGTACGCGCGACTGGTGAAAGACTTAATTTGCTGGTTTTACAGAGCTCTCGATTGCATTTCTGCTCGATATGAAACCTTCAGAATACCTTTTTAAAATAGTGTCCTGTCAAATGAGTTAATTGGATCGTCGAAACGCAATTAATCTGCCCCATCTGTCCTAGTAACGAAACGACGAATGAGATTTTAACGTTCGTATCTTTACACGCTTATTAACTCTGTGAAAATCGTAGTTTCATTTTTCCTTCTTTCTCGCTCTTCGTTTCCTCATTCCGCAAACATCACCATTCGTTTGTTTTAATTTTTATCTCGCGAAGGTTCGATCATTATCGTCACGAACGTCGAATATTTTATTTCACAGCGATAAGACGAAGGGTAGATTGAAAAGATTTCTTATTTCTACGTAATATCTAAGTTTCGTAAAACAATGAAATCGTACATATAGTTTCATAGAATAATAACAAATGTAATTTAAAAAGTAATAAACGTGTCTGCACGAAAATATTTACACGAAAAAAATCGTGCCAGTGTTCATTGTGTAACGATTAAAATATTCATAAAAGGATTTCACATTTATCCATAAAATTATCGGAGTGGTCTGTACAAGATTAATTTTTAATGATTTCCGGTTACGTAGCCAGTTTCAAAAGCACAAAGTCGAACTCGTTCTCGAGCACGAGTTATATTCGACGAGTGTGACCGATCAAAGAGCAATTACTCAAATCTTTTTTAAAGTTGTTCCAATTAAAGTTCTGATGGAAAGGGTCGTGCGTGATGGTTATTCGTTACTGGTAAGTAGAGACGATTGACATTGAACGCTTTAAGATTCAACCTGACTAGATTTTACGAACATCACGTAATTAATATTCGCTTAATTATCGGAAAATTGAAATGCGCTGATTAATAACGTCATGTCGAATCGTACGGTCGAGAAGCATTTTGACATGTGCCGAGTTTTATTAGTCTTTTATTAAACTTCGTCGATACATTTTAATTAAGAAAATAAATAAATAAAAGAATAACTTTATATACACGTGCCGTTTGAAGTTTTATTAAAAAGTGAGCAAACGTGAAAAAAACCGACCCACGATACTATCGATTTCTAATAGTATTCATTTGGTGCTGGAATAAAATGTCTTGGGCTACTTTGTTACTCTGATGCACACTATATTCGTTATTCTCGTAAACGACATTTTCAGTGTATCCTTTGCAAAGATTTCTTAACACTCTGCTTTTCGCGTAAATCTACTGATAACTTCAATCAATAGCCGATGTTTGCTTAGTAAAAAATTTCAAGTATACTTTACGTAACGAGCGACTTGCTCGTGATATCAACGTAGTGTCACCGGACATTACCATTCGGTCTGCATTTGACAACACGTTGGTGCAACCGGACGTGAAAGTGTTAATTATTCTTAATTATTCACGAGAAGCTCATACGAGAAACTCGTTTAACTTCGAGACAGCTCGGAGTTGTTCAACAATCATAGCCCACCGAAGTCCATAGATCATTAGAATTCCAGTCAGCCGTAAATGTTCGATAATTGGATATTCGCCGTGGGAGTCAGCGATGGACACGCGGAATATTTTCACGGATGAGCCGAGCGAAAATTTGCAAAACAATTACGCAACTAGGGAATAATTTGTGGCGCGTGCTACGTGCCGTGTCCGACACGAGCTGCTGCGAATAAATGTATCGCCGGCAACGTTGTTAAATAATTGAATTATTAACGACGTCTCATTTTACGTTCGCTTGTATGCGAGCCGCTCGATAATTTGTTCGCGTTGCTTCTTTGAAAATAGACGCGTGGGATCCCGACAGTGGGAAAATACGTATGTATAGCGCGCATATAGAGTTTCTACAAGCCGATAACACGAACGACAGTAAGTTACGGCGAGCAAAACGACCTAGTAACGTAAACGAGACATAAACGAGATAAAATGGAAGACGCCACCCCGTCGAGATATGCCAGCCTGGTTTACACGTTGTTGAAGGCTTTAGGGCTTAGCGTTTTCAAGAGGATACGCTGGCTAATCCACCAAAAAGTCATGCGGAGAAACTCCGATAAGGCCTGATGCAGACGAGCGGCTTTCCTCTTGTGCGAGCACGCACGGTTATTGGAAGATAAGCAATGCGCTCGCAGTGACAAAATGATGCCCGTTAACAGATGCGCGACAGTCGTGTACCTACATATAAATACACGGTGGCTACGAAAAGTATTCGTACTAGTAGCATTTTGATCTAAACTCTTCCGAGTTGTCTACAAACTGAGAATTAAGAAATTAGCGACATGTCTTTCCTGTATGGTTTTTATAGACAAACGTACTTCATCGTCAGCGCACGATGTAATTGCAATGGACTGTTGAAACACGGAAAATTCACTCGTCTGCGTCAAGTTCAACCCTTAACTGTTATCCTTGGCTCATATAAGTAATTACAATTTACATTATTTAATATCAAAATATATATCATTTTAGATATAGTTCGAGAAGATGAAACACTTGAAAAATAAGTACTTTACTGCAACGATATCGGTCAAGGGTTAAGAATACTAAGAGACACAGCTGTCTGTAGATCGGACAGTGAAGAAATCGCGTTTTGTGTTTCGTGTCGACTGCCGATTTTTCGACAAACTTACGAATGATTGGCATAACGCTGCCAGTCGTCGATAGGCTCTTAATTAGCGGCGACAGCAGGAAGCGGAAAAAGGTCGAGTATATTCGAAGGGAAGAGCACTCGAACAACGGGTTTAGGAAAAGTTCGTCGTCCGGCAAAGGGCGGATTTAATTTCCGGTCCTCGATAGGACACAACCTCGTAATGAACTTTCTTATCGTTCTCCTGCTTGGTTCTGACTCTATCCAATGCCCATTGGTTGCGGCTGAACTTTGAACGGTTAGACGGAGACCGCCATTTGGCCGCATCTACGTGCCAAAGACGATAACGTTCGATAAGATTTTTTTTTTAAATTCGTCTGTAATTTTTCCTCCGACGCGAGGCCTACTTTTTTATCTCATTCGCCTAAATTTTCTCTTTGCTGTTCTAACCGCGTATCGTTTCACCAGGAATGACACGAAAAGCTCGGAGAAATGAGAAACATTTCAACTAAACGTCGCGAATTTGATACACGGTCGACTTCGTTGATATGCTCGCAATTCTTTCGCACTGTTCGCTACGTTTTCCCTGTGTTTTCAATGTTTACTTTGCTTTCCCGCTACTTTCTATCGTCAATTGTATTCAGGTAATACGCAATGACGAGATTCATGCGGACGATATGTGGCTCGAGTGCGAAATATGACATGCGAAATCCGAAGCTTTACATTTCGCTGATTATTCTCTTCCAAACTGCAAAAGATTCGATTGCGATTCTTTGGACAAAAAGGTTCTGATTATTTGATTCGATCTTGTGCCATCAGCTTGTTACGTACATATGTATACTACCGTCCAAAGTTCCTGAACACACGTTTATCTCTGATCAGAAGTATTTCAATTACGTAATTAAGGATAAACTGCAACGATAGGATCACGTGGATATTACCTTGCTCCTATTTCTTGGCGCGAAGTCTTCCTTGCTGGCCTTCCGCCGCTTGTCTTTCAGGATCATTCTCGCCGCAGCGAACGCCATTCTGCCGATGCACTTTCTTCCGTCCCTTTAGCAATTTCGAATAAGGAACACGAAACTCGTGCTCAACGATTGATCACACGCGATAATGCACAGCCGAACACCAGTCCTCGTACTTACGAATTAAATTTCCTTTTTATTTTTATTGCTTTTTTTCATCACACGGATTATCGTTGAATTAACGAGAATTTACCACTACGATTTAATCGACACGACGTACGTATGAATATGTATACGTGAATTGAAATTCGCTACGTTTGTACTACGCGATATCTACATGACTCTCCTTCCCTTCTCTCCTCGTATATATCACTAGACTATAACTAATATTGACGTCGTCTTCTCGGGCCGGGCGTCCTTGTTGTTGATTCTTCCCTTTCCTTATTCTACTCGCTTCTTGCCCGGTTTCGATTTTTCTTCGACTGGTTTCACACGCGACCGGTCTCGAGAAGGCGAAAAGATCGCTGAACACTATCGTTTACGATTTTGAGGATAAACACAGCCAGGGGTTATCGCGGATTGACTAGATTCAGCTTCCTCGTCTTTGGAGTTTTATCGTGAAATTGACCGTGCGGTGTAGCGACGCCTGGCGTCGCCGTCGGTGTCTCTGTTTCCTGTCGCTTCTCGTGAGTAGCTCGTCGACGGGCTCTCGCGGAAGCTCGACGAGGACATTTGCCTGTCGCGATGTCACCGTTATTTCCGGTGGATTCTTCGTACACGACGTTTCTTCGATAAATATACGCGACGTTTCTTCGATAAATATACGCAACGTTACGCTATCTCTATCTTCCACTTCTTTCTTCTTCTGTTTCCTTTTCTTCTTGCGCGTATTATTCTCCTCTAAACGACTACATACCAGGCGACACGAGCCGCAACTGATGCGTCCTCATGGCTCGATCGATCTGTCATTAGTTGCTATAATTATGGCCATGGATCTGAAAAGAAACAGGTTCGTTGCGGACGACTCGCCTACGTGTCTCGATCGATCCTCGAACGATGTTTTCAAACCCAAGTAACGAGGTGCACAGCCTGCCCGTTTGAATAATTAAACACCCGCCATCATCTTGTCGGTCATTTCGTCGGGCTATTTTCGCGCGGTCGCCCGTCTAAAATAACCGGAAATTATGTCTTAAAAAAGGACTTAACTTTCTCTCTGATTTGTTGCCAGTGGACGTTAGCCTCGATATGGCTCAAGGACTAAATACAATCAACGAATGATTATAAAATATCGAAATAATTACAGCTAGCTGTTTCATTGAAAGTGGCCCGGTGTAATTGCAATTAACGTTCGTGATAAACGATTCATACACAAAGCTCAGAAAGCTTTTTGATCAGACCACGTACAAACGATGATCTCTTCACCTGCACGGTTGTTCGTTTTTGCAGGCAAAACGCTCGAACCACCATATAACGAAAAAGAACGGCTCGACTCTTCAGCAAGGCGAGTTTTTGAAGAGGCGTCGACAAGCCCTATTGGAGATGACGAGAAACGAAAGTAGAATGGGCCGTGTTTGCGTTTGCCCTGAACCGCGAAACTTTTCTAATTAAATTCGTTCGCCTAACGCCTCGATAGATTTCGCAGGGGAACGTGAAAGGCAAAAAAAGGAAATCGAGGAGAGCTCGAACGAAACCTTTTCACACCGTATGCTTCCGCGTTTTACACGAGCATAAAGATTCCGTGGAAAAACGTAGCGTCAGCCACTTGCGTAAATCTTGCGCGCGCTTTCGACCCTTTTGCCGTAAAAAAAATTCGGCTCATACCAAAAGCCCACTCGTCGTAAGAGTATAAAATATTTTCCTTTGCATGATAATGGCGGGGCATTACACTGCGTATAATTTATCCAGTTATTTACAGAGGAAAACTCGTTAGAAAAATCCGTACACTTCTGCTCGTAAGTATCAGAATACATAGTGGTTTTTTCATTTAAATTCATTTGTAAGGCTAACGAGAGGCACGCGATGAATTAAAAATCATACTTTTATAATTATTCTTCGAACTTTCGTAATTCTCTAACCTAACTCCTATTGAAATCTTTTCATACAAATTAAATGCACAACTTGGAGAAGTTTTCTTAAGATCTGGCTCGAACTTTGGTATTAATAAGAACAACTGCAATGGAAAAATTAAAATAACACGAGTGCTAGAAATAGCTAAATAGCCAAAGTAAGAGAAACATAGCGGATATAGGCGAGAAGAAATTTAAGCACAGACGATACCGATTAAGTGATTTAGAAATTCTCTGAATAAGTCCCAAGGATGTAAAGGTACGAAACATGGTATTTTAATTATAGGTTTGCCTAAATTCGTCGACGACAGGATAAGGCCAAAAATTGCTCTCGTATTTCTTCTCGTGACGCGTGTCTTCCGACCGTTCCCTGATGGACAGCGAATACTTCTTCGTCTCTGGGATTCTACGAGTGATACATGACTCCTGTTCCACGATTCCGAGGTATCGCGTTTAAATCGTCCGGTTCGCGTAATTTGCGTTTTGCTCTAACGAGATGAAAATTCCACGATAAATTCACATCTCGAGCAAAACATGCCACGAAAATGGAGCAAGTTTAAATCGATGCAACGGGTCGCGTTATTCGTGCCTAAAGCAGGGCCCACCGATGGTAAATCATTTTACCTTGAAAATTCGGCGCTCGATATCGTTCCACTTGGAATTAATTTCCATGAAATTCCATGTATCCGTAAAAGCGTTTTTAGAAACGTTCAAGTACTTTCGTGATCTATTATATATACGTATTCCTTGATGATCACTTATTGCAGAAGATTTCTCAAACAACGTTTCGCGTTACGTTAAATAACGGGATGCGATATTGGCGCGAAGCGACAAACGTTTTAAAAAGTACGTACGATAATACATCAGCTAATGTCGAGGATAGAATTGAATGGCGTCAAGATAAGAAAGCAGAAAGCTCAAAGTACGACCTCTTACGATTATAACGAGATGATATAGTACCTGAGGAATAACGTAAAAAGTCCCGTTAAAAAGTGCTATCCAACGGTGTGCTGTTACAGATTACCTTTCGAGGTGTGGCCGTGCAACGTACGTCTGAATCTACTTAATCGATTCCGCGTGCAAACCCAGCTGCACAGAACCTATCGAATTTTCTATAGAATATTCCGAGCGAAATAACTGCAACGAATTTTGTCGAGATCGCGTATACAATGTTCGTTTAATTCGTAGTCACGGTTACTCGGTGCACGTGTAACGGTTAAATAAATTATATCCTTTATCGATTGGGCCATTGTAATCTAAAATCAGACACGCGCGAACGTGTTTCCGCGAATCGTATCTGATCCGATTTCTGTCCTGTATGACACATCAATATCGACAACGTGTACGACATGTTTCACAAAAAATATGTTTCCACTTTTTATAAAAAGAAAATTTCGGCTGTATTTCAAACAGACGAATCGTTCTTCCATTTGAAAAAAAGAGAACATTCAGGAACATTCCCATCATTTTCTTCCGCGTTATTTTTTCCAGCAAGTTTTCTCGGTTTTTTTTTTTTTTTTAGTTTCGACGAAGTTTATCGTGGAGAAGAAAGAGATTCGATTTCCCCCGATGAAACGGCAGATGGTAACGATAGTTCGAACGACAGAGTAATAACGTCGATAAGAGCAGCCCATTGAAACTCCAATGAGATTTCTCGAGGATCAGTTTCAGTGAAAAATTGCAATTTCTGCTTGTCCAGGGCTAACAGGTTCTCGGGGAAGCGAACGATTTTAATCGGATGCGTGTATCGACCTGGACGAGAGTCATTTTCCTCTCGAAATCAAAACAACGGATTTCATCCTTTTACGTCTCCTGGAAACGTATCGGACGTATCTCGCCAACAATTCCTTCCGATCCATTGCCGATTTTTGCTCCCCTCCTAACTAGATCGTATCCGGGTCATTCCGTTCGATGACGTCCACGAAAAATTCGACAGCCAAAATGAGGGAACCGATACGATAAATGCGAGCGACCAGCCGCGAAATCGAATCGTCGATAACGAACTCTCGATGCACAGGGATCTTCCAGCAATTCCGAAGATTATGCGCATCTCGAATGGAAGTCTCGTTTTCAACGAACGAAAAATTATGTCGATTTTGAACGAACGACACGTCCACGGAGAAAGATTAATCTAACAGTGTGGCCTACTTCACGCAAAATAAAACAACGATATATTTCTTTGTAAAAGAAGACGGTTCAATGCTGTTTACGCGAACGCAGATAAACGTGATCGACGTCCCCGCATCTCCTATCGCGAGGCTTTTGATTTATCATTCGAGAAGTTTCGACAGTGTGTCCTGAGGGGTAAAAACGAACACAGTGAGAAATCAACGTGTTTCGCGATACCTCAATGTGCTTCTAATGAGAACGTATTGCCGTGTTATCTCGTCCGAACGATACAGACTGAATTTACAATTAGTTGCTACTCCTGTCACGAGCCGCTCGTTTCAGGCTTGTGTGTCGTGGCTGACGTTCCGGCTTCGCCTCCGGCGGAAGCTTAAAACTCGATTAAACGACTACTGATGCAATGTCAATCGGACGAGAAGCCGCGGAAACTGGATTAACGTCTGTCAGTGTCGTGTTGTTCGCGTGCATTCGAGACCGAGAGTCGCGTTAAATAAGACTGACAATTCGCGAAGAAATCGAAAGGAAAGTACAGACAATGATCCTTTCAGTTAAGTCAAAGACAATGCTGATAATTCCATCAGGCAACTATAACGATCTCTATACTGGTATCAATTAATTATCTAATTAATTTTCAACAGCTCTTCCAAAGAGTCCTTGCTAATTTCTATCAAAATCTTAATACTACGGAGACGCGCAGGTTGCACATACGAAATTTATGAAAGTACACGAAACGTGCACACAGCACGGTGCTTGTTCTAATTTCTAATATACCGTACTTTGACTCTCGCGATATCATCCTATTGCAACGCTTTTAAATTAACCAGTAAGAGGATCATCTATAAAATAGGAGAACGCGATAGTCGATCCTGC